GCCATTCCATACGGCCGCGCCTTTGAGATAAACTCGTTCACCCATTGGATCCACAGGGAGTCCTTTTCAAGTGGATATCCCAGAGGTCCTTCACTAACAAGCAACGGTTCCACGTGCGCAAACACCGAAGCCCCAGCCCCCGATCGGCCTTCGGCTTGCACAAGTGCTCCCAACCAACTTTCGGAGCACTAGTTCCCCACAAGAAATCCCGCGCCATGTCCTCAATACGACCAATAACCGTAATCGGCACCGAAAAAATCGAGAGCCAATAGCAACACGTACCTTGCACCACCGCCTTCAAAATCTCCAAACGACCCGCATAAGATAACGTGTGCCCCTTCCAAGCTCCAATGGCATGCTCGATTTTGTCAAGCAGCGGTTGGTAATTCAGCACTCGCAGTTTAGACGCGGCGAGTGGAATACCTAGGTATCGAAAAGGGAAGGTGCCGGTGGCAAATCCGAATTCCTCCACTATCGATGTGCGTTCCGTCTCATGGACTCCGGCGAGAAAAATATTCGACTTCAAGTTGTTCGCTTGAAGCCCCGATGCGCGGCCAAACTCAATGACCGTAGTGGCGAGTGTACGTATGGATGCAGCATCTCCTCTCGAAAATAGCATCAAGTCGTCGGCGAAAATGAGATGCGTCAATTTGTGCACATGGCACATCGGATGGAAATTGAGCTCTTGCTCCATTGCTCGTGTATGCAGCAATCGCGAGAGGTACTCCATGCATATAACGAAAAGATAAGGGGATAGCGGGTCCCCTTGACGAAGCCCTCTCATCCCCGGAAAAAACCCCTTCGTCACTCCGTTAACCGACACCGTGTATGAAACCGAGGACACACACTCCATGATCCATCGAACCACTAAGTCCGGGAACCCCAACTCGACCAACATCGCCCTCAGAAAGTCCCAATTTACGGAGTCGTAGGCTTTCCGTAAATCCATCTTAATCATGCACCGGGGAGAAATCCTTTTGCGCTCGTAACCCCTCATGAGTTGCTCCACCATATGTATGTTGTCTGTAATCGAACGCCCACTCACAAAGGCAGACTGAGCACGATCAATAATAGAAGGTAACACCCTCTCAAGACGCTTCGTAATAACCTTCGCAATCACCTTGTAAATTACGTTGCAGCAGGCGATAGGCCGAAAATCACTCACCGTTTCGGCTTGGGCTGATTTCGGTATGAAAACCAGTACCGTAGCGTTCCATTGTTTTAGCAGCTCACCACTGCGGAAGAATTCCAAAGCTGCATCGGTGAGGAGAGGCCCTACTGTCGCCCATGCAGCCTTGAAAAATAAGGCCGTGTACCCATCCGGTCCCGGCGCCTTATCGTCAGCAATATCAAAAAGTGCTTCCCGTATCTCCTCCCTCGTCACCGGTTGGGTCAGCCCGTCACGGTCCTCATCTCTCAATTTCGGCCCCGTGGCAACAACATGATGATCAACCGGTTCGCCAGTAGTGCGAGTGCCCAAGAAGTTTCGATAGAAAGTTTCAAATTCGCCAAGTACCTCGTCTCGGGATGTGGTGAGCGTGCCATCCACCTTGCGAAGTGCTGTAATATTGTTGCGTTTAGCATTTCGCTTGGCCATCCCGTGGAAAAATTTCGTCGTTCGATCTGAGTCCCGTAAGTGGTGCAACTTCGCCTTTTGGTAGAAAAAACTTTTCTCTGCTTTCGCCAAGAACCGATATTTCTCCACCTTTGCCATCACTTCCCCACATAATTGTTGGTTATGGGGGTCACTATGGTAGTTTTGCTGAATTTCCTCAAGCTCCCCCCCCACACGCTTCACCCGTTCAGATATGTGCCCGAACTCTCGCCTGTTGAATCGTTTAAGGGGGTGCTTTAGGGCCTTGAGATTCTTGCACATGGCCCACTGACGGCTGCCCCGGTAGTTCGCCGTCCATATTTCCTTAACTTCCCGTTGGAAATCATCGTGCTGAGTCCACATGTTGAAAAAACGGAAAGGCCTAGAAGCCGGGGGTTCGGTCCCACCAAGTCGCACAATCACCGGAGAGTGGTCCGACACGCCCCCGAACGGCAGGAAGTGTGCCGAGCTAGCTTCGAACACATCACGCCACTTTTGATTGACAAGCGCACGGTCAAGTTTGCTCCACACCGTATGGTTCGTCCATGTATATTGAAATCCGGTCGAAGGTAGGTCCTCAAGTCCACTTCGACGGAAGCATGTCTGTATATCGTTCAACAGGTAGGGGGTCATCAAATTACCGCCCGATTTCTCCTCCGGCTTGAGCACCACGTTGAAATCACCCATGCAGACCCACGGATCGGTGATGTTCGCCCCGAAATCCTCTACCTCTTGCCACAACGGTCGTCGGGTGACCGGTGTGAAAAGACCGTACACAAAACTCACGTAAAACAGTCGTTGGGTCACCAAACACGTTACCTTGCAGTGGATCACCTGCGACGTCATACCGAGAACTTCCACCCGAGCCACTGCCGGGTTCCAAATGACAAGGATCCGGCCTGCCGTGTGGAGGTGGAAATTATCGGCCTTCATCCAGTGCCGGAACCGCCGTTCCATAATCGAGTTCAGCGTTCCCGGGTCCCAAATCTTCGTCTCCAATAAGCCACAAACCGAGAGTTTGTGCTTACCTATGAGGTCCCCGACCTCCTTCTGCGTGAGAGAGTTGAGCAACCCCCTCACGTTCCAGCAGCCCACAATCATTTCGCCTTTGGGGGTTTCTGGCCCCCCCGCGGCTCTGCATCCTCGCTCTCAACCCGAACAGACTTCGACTCAACCTCCTCCTCTAAATCCACGTCTTTTGGTAGCAAAATTGCAGTCGGTGGGAGGTTCTTCTTTTTGATAGTGAATTTCGACTTAGGGGCGGTACCCTGGGATTTTGGGGAGTGTAGGGCATTAAACTCCACCAAGGATCCCCGGTCATCGTCATCCGCAGCATAGCATTCAGTCGAGCCATCCTCCGATTCATCATCCTCAGCACTCACGATCACCACAGCACCCACGGCTTTGTCGCCCGTTTCAGGCTCCGGGTCCTCCACAAGTACCGTCCGTTTTCCAGCCCAAACCGCAGTTACCGGTAGATCTTGTGCAGCACTCACCACCGGTTTCGGTTTGCGGCTACGTCCTCGCTTCACCACCGCCTCTGCTCGACACTGATCAGTTTTATGCGTAAGAGTCTGGCATTTCGAGCAAAACACCGGTTCGTAACTATACTCGATTGGGGCCTCATAGCTTTTCCCTTTCGCATTGATCAACGTGAGAGAACGTCGTAGCGGTTTCGATGCGTCCACCTCCACTTGCAGCCGAGCGAAACCTAGCCTCCCCATCTCACTCGTAACCTTGTCCATTTGTACCGGTTTGCCTATCTTCTGAGCGATCTTACTCAACGCCTTCTTGTTGTAGAGCTCCGCCGATATGTTGCGTATGATCACCCAAACCGGTACAAACATCATGTCGTTGATGTCAAAATTGAAGAATTCCGGCATGGAGCGAATGTAGAGAGTCGCCAGTCCATGTTCGAATTTCCCCAACTCCACCACCTTCATCCTGTCTTGGTCCGTTGTGAACTTGAACACAATCCACCCCGTCGGATGGATCTGAAACTTCACCGGGACCTCCCATTGAGCCTTGATCGCACGTATGGCCTCAACACCGGGGATTTCCCCGGAAAATACGCCACGGCCAAGAATACGCCCTTCGTTCCCCAATCAGTCTCGTCTTCTTCGTCAAATTTCAGAACATTTGAGTCGTCCAATCCGGTGACCGAATCCAGTGCAAGATCCTCCGGTGGTGGTGGCCGTCCTTTGAAGAATTGAGCCCAATTCACACGTACGCCATCGCCGGAATGCATTTCCTTCGTTGATCCGCGAGTTTCACCCGCCATTGACGTTTCGGCGTGTGGAATTGCCATCGTCGTAGTAGTCTCAGTCGCCGGTGTGACCGGTGTTTGCAACGGGGGTGCCGGTGTAGCACCAACCCCGTCACCGGTCACCGGTTTCCCTTTACCGGCCGTGGCCGGTTTCGGTGCACCGCCCACAGCGGCCGGTCCCTTCCCCTTGTCCACCGCTGCAATCGCCGCCTTCTTCCTGGCCATAGCGGCCGTCACTGAGAGCTCTTTCTAGATGCCTTTTAGGCCGCGGAAGTTTGAGGCAATAACAGGTCTGTGATGCCCTTAGATGTTCTGGGCCGCACCCGAAACCCTAGCCGCTCAGCACCGATCCCCCAACCCTAGCCCCACGGCCCACCCGGCCCACCGAAACCCTAGCCGCCGCGGCTTCGTGGAACCGTAGCCGTCGCCGGCGCCGTCACCTCACCGCCGGCAATAATGGCCGACCAAGCTTCCCCGGTCTAGTTTTGGCCGGAAAACCACCCAAAACCTCCGAAATCACCGCTAACTAGCTATAAACCGTATACAATCTTCCCGAAGGCCGTAGATCCGGCCACCTTCCACAAAAAACCGATCAATCCCTCAACAAATCCACCAAAATTCCCGTAAAAAACCTCCCACGCGTAGATCCGGTCGATCCACGCACAGACGAGCACTCCAATTCGAACAAATCACACTCCACCGTCGACACACGTACAAGATCTCGAAAAAGCGATGCGAAACAAAAACGAAACTCCTTACCCCGAAGACAGAAATCCGCAAAATCACACTCAGTATGAGCGCGCCGATGAGACGAGTTGATTGGTTGCGAAACCAAGTCAATCCGATCACCGGAGATGAAGAAACTGCCGTCGGAAGGCACCACCGTGGTCGCGAAAACCGAGGGGGCGGAAAAGTTCTTTTCCTAACCTTGAGAGCGTTTTTTCTCTTTCTACTGAGAGCTCTTTCTAGATTCTATGGGTGGTGGTGCATGGCCGTTCTTAGTTGGTGCCGTTAACGAACGAGACCTCAGCCTGCTAACTAGCTATGCGGAGGTATCCCTTCGTAGGTATCCCTTCGTGGCCAGCTTCTTAGAGGGACTACGGCCTTTTAGGCCGCGGAAGTTTGAGGCAATAACAGGTCTGTGATGCCCTTAGATGTTCTGGGCCGCACGCCTTTTAGGCCGCGGAAGTTTGAGGCAATAACAGGTCTGTGATGCCCTTAGATGTTCTGGGCCGCACGCGCGCTACACTGATGTATTCAACGAGTTTATAGCCTTGGCCGACAGGTCCGGGTAATCTTTGAAATTTCATCGTGATGGGGATAGATCATTGCAATTGTTGGTCTTCAACGAGGAATTCCTAGTAAGCGCGAGTCATCAGCTCGCGTTGACTACGTCCCTGCCCTTTGTACACACCGCCCGTCGCTCCTACCGATTGAATGGTCCGGTGAAGTGTTTGGATCGAGGCGACGTGGGCGGTTCGCTGCCCGCGACGTCGCGAGAAGTCCACTGAACCTTATCATTTAGAGGAAGGAGAAGTCGTAACAAGGTTTCCGTAGGTGAACCTGCGGAAGGATCATTGTCGAAACCTGCAAAGCAGACCGCGAATTCGTGATTAAAACTCCGGGGAGCGGCGC